ACGGCTCCTACCTGCCCGACACGGGGCTCTGCACCTGCGACCCCAACTGGATGGGCCCCGACTGCTCCGTCGGTAAGAGCTCGCTCTGGCACCAGCAATGGCACGGGAGCAGGAGGGAGGCAGTGCTGCAGAAAGAGCAAAGAGGGCTTTATTCGAGAGAACCGCGCGGTTTATATAGAGTGATAAAATACATTCTGTTTGATTGGCTAACTAACAGAAACACCTTCCTCATACACCATCCTTGAGAAGAACAGAAAGACAAAGTAGAAAAACACCTCCTGCAGATTGTTTATACTTAACAAGTTATCACATCCTTACAACTAAAAATTCTCACAAGCCACTGTGAGAAGTGCTTGGCCTTCCTCTCTCTCTGTCCCTTGGCCCTTTCTCTCTCTCTGTCCCATGGCCCTTTCTCTCTCTCTCCCATGGCCCTTTCTCTCTCTCTGTCCCTTGGCCCTTTCTCTCTCTCTGTCCCATGGCCATTTCTCTCTCTCCCATGGCCGTTCCTCTTTCTCTCTCTCTGTCCCATGGCCGTTTCTCTCTCTCTGTCCCTTGGCCCTTTCTCTCTCTCTGTCCCATGGCTGTTTCTCTCTCTCTCTGTCCCATGGCATCCACAGTAAGAAAAAGGTTTTTTCCCTCATTTTGCAATCATGTTGCCGTTTTGTTCAAAGGTTAATACCTATGGCGAGTTTGAAATGCGGTAATAATCGAGAAAGTTGTCTTTGTTGCATGATTGGGCTTGTTTCATTTTGTTGGGAAGAACTGTGGATGTACTTCTATATATGCTTTCGTGACATTCTTAATTTGGTTAGGCATTTGTGTTTTGTTCTAACACTGGTTCTCTTTTAGACTGAAAAAGTTACATAAGTGTACTTCTGTTTCCCAACTGTAAATGAAAATGTCCCAATGTTTCCATTTATGGGGAAAGAAATATGGGGAATTTTGCTTTTACATGTTCAGTTGAACCTTGAGATGCTGCTGTAGGTCAAAACCAAGTGTCTCAAAACACTGGAGACAAATGGAGACAAATATTTACATTTTTCACAGTTATTTAGTTATTTCTTAAGGTTAATCAGCTGGAATACCCTACCAGTGACATGAATATCAAGATGTGTTTTCTGCTTTATGGATAAGCAGTCAGAAGAATTCAAGAATGAGAGTTTTGCTGCCACTTTCTTTGGTGATGTGTGGGGCAAAAGACCCTTCTGCTTGTCTGAAACTTCAGCTGGCAGAGAGCTGTAGAATTTTTGCAGTGAGACACCAGATAACTGACCATTTTAGTAATAGGAATACAAAATCTCTCCTTGGAAAGTGACTTTTACCCATCATTCTAAATGACCCTGAATTGCTGCCATTCTCTGCCAAATGAGTTTCAGGTGAGTTTCAGTTTCAATTCTTAGCAAATCAATATCTGTCAAAATCACCCAAGGTCCAGGTTTGAGTAGAGCAGAGCCACCTGCTCACCTCCTTTGCTGTTGGGGACAGCACCTCTGACATGTTTGTGTCTGTGTGGAGGGTGCAGCTCTGCAGCTCTGTGCAGTGCACATTAGCAAGTTTTTTTTTAAACTGATGCCTTGGAGTGCCTACCTAGAACAGAGGCTAGACAAGGTTAAGAGAATGAAGTGGGTATTTATTAATATTAAAGACCTTCTATAGATGCACCTTGGGCAATCAAAATACTCCGAGGGAGCCTACACCCAAGGTAGATGATGGTCATAAGTTTTTCAGACAATTTAAATTTAGGTCCATTTACATGTCAAGGGTTACAACTGCAGGTAATGAAGTCATATTCTCCCAGTTTGCTCCCCCCCAATTCACTTTTGTTTATACTTTTCATGGCCTGAGGCTGTCGGGTGTCCCTGAGTTTCAGGCCTAGAGGGATTGTTTCATCTGACCAAAATGTGTAGACAGCAGCTAGCTAACACTTTACATGGAGTTTAGAGTTATGTACCAAGGCAGTACAGGATTTGAAAAATATAAAGGCACTTATATTAAAAAAATTTAAAATATAAATCTCAGAATCTCTGCTGGTCAGAGTGACTCTGAGATACGTACAAGTCTCTGTTTCCCAGTCCCGCAGTTAAAGAAGAAGTCAGGATTCTTCTGTTCTTGTTCTCAATGAACAAACATCAAGGTTGTTTATTATTTCTTATCTATTACATTATTTCTCCAACTCACTGAGGTCTTTTTGGCAGGTTGGGTTGTGGCACACTGACCACTCTCAGGGCATTGTTATCTTTTTATACTAAAAACTTCATGTACATCATTTACCATAATTTGCCAATGCCTATCACCTATGTTAGACAGTGAGTTTCCACCTTAAACCAATCCAAAAGTGCCAACACCACCCAGAAGATGGAGGCTAGGAAGAAGGATGGGGTACGCCCAAATTCCTCCATCATGGCACCCCAAGCCCCCGTTCTAAAAACCCCAAAATTCTACTTTTCACCCTGTGATCAACTAACTATCATTCTACTTAAACTTTTGTGGCTTTTAAATCCTCATATAAGGTTGGTAATTTTTCCATGGGTCAAGATCAATTTCCCAGACATCCTGGGCTCTGTGCCAAGGTCTCTGAGCCCCCTGGCAGGGGCTCGGGCCATCCAGGACACTCAGAGGAATTTCCAGGGTTCTGACATATAAAGACATTTATATTAAAAAAATATGAAGGTGTTTATATTTAAAAAAAAAAAAATATATAAAAATATAAAGGCATTTGAAAAACATTAAGGTATGAAAGCGACTTTTAATTTAATTCGCTTTTAAACAAAAATTAAATGCCGGCCTTTCATCAGAAGGTGATCAGGCCAGCTTTTTGAGTGTGGCTGTGAGCAGCGGTGCTGCTGTGGTGCTGCCTTGCCCCGGGGCCGGCTGTGACTGCTGTTCTCTCTCCTAGAAGTGTGCTCGGTGGACTGTGGCACGCACGGCGTGTGCATCGGCGGGGCCTGTCGCTGCGAGGAGGGCTGGACGGGAGCGGGCTGTGACCAGCGTGTGTGCCACCCCCGCTGCACCGAGCACGGGACTTGTAAAGATGGGAAGTGTGAATGCAGAGAGGGCTGGAATGGGGAGCACTGCACCATTGGTAGGCAAACGACAGGCACCGAAACAGGCACATATTGCTTTCTTTTCATAAATCGTAGAGACATAGTTACTGTCGTGGACTGTAATGGGCTGTTCCCTTAAGGACCCAGGTGCTCTCAGCTATCAAGCCTGACTCAAAATGTGTTGGGGGAAGTGCAGGTGAGCTCTTGGAATCATTTCAAATCAATAACAATGATTTTTATAGATTTTTTACTTTTTATAGAGGAAAAAACCATACAAAACCAACACAACAACAAATTCCACATTAGTAAGTAAAGATGGAAAAAAATGGTACCATGTGTGATATCAACAAATACAACACTTGGTACTATGGATGATATCTTAGTATCATCTGAGCCTGAATGATTTTCAAACCTAACTAAGCATTCCTTTGTGTGAATGGCCTCTTTTTCAATTTCCCAGTGTGACCCATGCGTGCTCTCCTGCTGTTGTACTTCACATGTGAAACACAGCCCAGAGCAGCGCCCAGAGCAGGGGTCAGTGCTGGGGAATGTCTGTTCCTGCTGGTCCAGGAGCAGCTCCCTGGCTCTCTCCCCTGCTGTCTGCATGGAGACAGTGCCAGCCCATGAGCCCCTTCCTGAGAGCCTGCAGCTCACTGCAGCATCAGCAGCGCAGTCTCAGCTGGGCTCTGCCAGCCTGGCAAGCTCAAAAAGGTCATCCTTACACAAAGCAATGGTGTTCTATCCTCTCAATTACCATACTTGAAAATTTACTTGAAAGAGGAATTAATTGTTCCTGAGTGAAGCTCTTTATTTTGTCTCTACAAGGAGTCAACTCTATTTGGATTATTTTGGAAATTTACTCAAAGGAGAAAACTGTTATTTTCTGTGAGCTATAATCAAAAATGGGAAATTCTCAGTGATCACATCCCTTCTGAGAAGTTTGAGCAGATTTATCTGAACAAGAGTATCCCATCTACTGAGACTGTGAGGTTCAGACGAGTGTGTTTTTCTCCAGAGAATTTTTGGAGAACTGAAGTATGCCTTAGAAGAAATCTGATGAGTCCAAATCCAGAGTCATGTTGTTTTCATTATCTTAAGGTGATGAATTTAAGAAAGAAAAGAGTAGGACACTTGAGATTTTCGTGGCAGTCAGGGACCCTAATGGGACAGTCCTATTACAAGTGAATTGTTATTTCTTTACTTAAACGTATGGTGAGATTCTTGCATCCCTCAAGCTGTTTTTCTTTTTCATTCCCCTCTGATTTCTCTTTGGGTATACAAACCATTTCCAACACAGGAGTTGGAAACTAAAAGTATACTCCTATTGGAGAGATTAAAAAAAAAAAGAAAAATTGATACATATTTCAGGGCATATCCTTTGATGTTGTGGTGCTGCATGCTTCCTCCACACTGTGCAAATATGATTTAAATCAAAGCTTTTATGACTGAACACTTTGTGACCAGCACAGATGCAGAGTGTTTTTTTCATAATTGCTTTCAGACTTCCATCATATCAACATACCTCTGCTAGATTAATCCAGGCATTTTGTTTTCAAAGTTCTTCCCAGATCTTTACAAAATGCCTAGTATATAATTTTTTCATTAAATTCTGTAATAATTGCTTATTTCAGAAGTTGATGCTTCGCACAAAATTTGTTTTGCTTTATAATCTCTTAGTAATGTGCCGATGTTTAGAAGTAATTAGTGTATGTAAAGTCTTCATTACTGTGCAGACAAAAAGATGCCTTTTACCAAGATCTCAAAGTAGGCTGAAAACTGCAAGCTGAACTAGTGAACTCCGAAGTGAGATTTTAAACCTAATTTTCAGAGCTTTGAACTAGATATCTCCCTTATTACTGATGTGTATAATCAATTCTTTCCAGAGGAAGGGTGATATTTCTAAAGTGATTAAAATATGTGTAAGCTTTTTTTGTTTGGTGTGCATTACACAGATTTCCTTGAAACTTAATGTGGTCCTGCCTGTGGCAAAGATGAGACTTAGTGCAAAAAATTCAGGTATGCCCTTCTAGTTATCATGGATGAAGTTTGTGCAGTCAGAAGTTGTCTGTTGCATGCAGACAGAGATTCTTGTGACAGGCCTGTATCAGTAAGGATTTTCACATGGTTATGTCCTGAGGCCATTTACAAAAGCACAAAGGCTGATGCCAGGGATGGGATTGAGTTCAGAGGGACAGCTCAGTGTGACCTCACTGGTTTGTGTTACAGGGAGCTGAAGCACAGAGTTCAGAGGAAAAGGATGGTAAAAGGGATTTTTGTCAGTATTGGTATGTAATTTCTAGAAGTTACACTGGAAAATTTGTGCTTAGAGTGAATTGATGCTTTGGTACAATGATGAGTTGCTCAAGATGTTTTAAACGCTGGTGTGAAGAACTAAAGTGCACTTAAATTTTACAGAAACTCACTGTCAGAGTACTGCCTTTATGGTTTCAGCTGCAAGTTTGACACAGCATTTAATGTCAGAATTACTGAGGAGTGTCCACCTAAGAAGATGCCACCAATTAGTCCTTCTGGAAGGTACCTGAAAACTGCACAGGCTGTTTGTCCTAAGGCAGGAAATGCAAATCCTGTAGGAGAGGTTATTTACCCTGAATTTCCATTTTTGCTACACCTCGTCTGAAATGAAGTCAGCAGAAAAACTTGCTTTGATTTCAGTGACTTTAGTCCAAGTCCACAAATTGATTTGTGAGGAAGAAAAGGGGATTTCTATATAAAAAACATTTGTTTTCTTTTTGTTTCTTTACCAGTTTCTTTGTGCTATATTTACATGGCAGTGGAAAAGAAATCATCATAGCAAACTGCAGGTATCCAAGCTAATTTGGATATTTTATCCTATTTAATATCAAAATGAGGCTTTAATAGATGCTTGACAGAATGCACACTCCTTGTCATTTCATTGTTGAGTATCTAAACTCAAAAGTTTCAATAGAAATGCTTTTTTTTCTCTGTTTTACCTGGTTTAAGAAAAGTACTCAGAAAATCCTCCCAGAACAGCAGTGTGAGCTCGGTGTTAGCACAGTGTCTGTGCAAAGCAGCTTTTGCCTGTGTGCAATAGAATTATGTGTAAGAATCAATGCAAATAAAAATGCATGCATGTTCCAAGTTACTCAGATTTTGATAAATCTATATCCAAATAATATAAAAGTAAAAGGAGTCTGGTCTTGCTCAGCTGCTTTTCGAAGCAGAGCAGAACTTCAGCTCACTTTGCTACTTCAGGTAAGAAAAGAAATTGCTTACTGGAGTGGTGATAAAGAAAATTAATCTTTTCCCAGTGCAAAAATAGACCTGTCAGGATATGTTTATTAAGTGATTACTATTCATTGATTGCAATTATGGAGGAAGTTATAACTAAATAATAGAGGGTAATCTAGATGAAAAAAAATATTGGAAAACTAATAACAAAGTGAAAGAAAGGTATAGAAGTTGTTAATCTTGAACCCATTTCATGACAGAAATTTAAGATGGAGGATTCAGCTTTTCCTTAAATCATCTGAATGTTTTTTAAAACATGCTGTTATAAAACAGATCTGTTACTTTCACTGAAAATATTATCTGGATGTTTAAAACTGTTGTTTTTAAATGCTTGCAGAGGATGTTCTGCATATAAACTGTCAAGATAGCATTCCAAGGACAGAGTGATATATATGGAGATCTTATGAAACAGTCAGAAATACCATTTTAAAAGTGTAATTCCATCTGTAATTCATATCCCTGAGCGTGGTCTCTTATTAAGTCATTGGTAAAAATCTCACTGGGAGACTAGTGAAAGCAGGATTTAATCCTAAATATTTACAAGTAAAATTTAAATGTCTTCAAATGGATCTTTTAAGGTGAGCTCTGACCAGAAGGTGATATTTGAAGTTTTCTTTAGGGCTGCCTGTCATATTCCCAAGCCTTGCTCTTGTCTGTTCACGTCCTCCATTAGAGGTAGGTTAAGCACTCTTTTTCAGACAGAAAGTGGGAAAAAATTATACTCAAGGCTATTTGGTAATCTAGATACTCTGCTGCAGATTTTGATCCAGAGAGTTGTTATCTCTTATGTTCTTTTTTAAAATTTTTTTATGCAAATGAGCTATACCCCTGGTACAGACATTGAAGCTGAGCCTCCACCTGCCTGCCTCACAAAACACAAGCAGGTGATGAGTCCATGTCTTCAGGCTCTGCTTGGGCTCATTTAGCTTACAAAAGACCCTGAAGATCATCAAGTCCAGCCACAAACCCGACACTGTTTTGGCCTTGGTAGTGCTTTCTGAAATCCAACTCCAGAGCTGGGGATCAGCAACTTTGCCCCACCGGGTCCTTGGCCCTAAAACTGTCAAAATTGGAGAACAAGTTATTTAGCCAAGTAGGGGTTTGGAAATCTCTATTAGCTCTGTATTTTATCTTCTATGTTTTCAAGGCCTTGAATAAAGGTGAAAGATTTGAAAAAAGCTAGGATTCTGTCACCTACATGGTGGAAAATAACCTAATATTTTCAGATGCAAAAAATGTACAAAAAAAAAGAAAGGACTTTGTGTCTAGGATGATTGAGAAGCTTAAGTTGTAGTACAAGATATTTGTATTAGGAAAAAACATGTTATCAACGAATGAAAAACTGAAGGAGGTTGTCCAAGCCAATTATGAATTCCTCATCAATGGAGTTTGTAGGGACCATTTAGACAAACACTTGTCAGGAATAAGAGAGGTAAATCATCCTGCCCTGGGGCAGCAGCTTCACCAGAAATCATTGAACTCTATGAGCTCTCTTCCAGTCTCCTTTTAAATGAGCTTAGGAGGAAGCATTCCTTCTAAGGAGTTTATTTTTAATGGCCTACCTTAAGAGCTGTACTGTCATTCCCTTTAAGAATCCAATGCCGCTGTTGGAAGTAGAATTGATAATTTATCCAGCCAGGGAGACTGATCTATGTGTTCTGTATTTGCAGAACAATGGGTTGTCAATGTGTATATTGAGCCACTCTGAAACATCCACACAAACTCACACCCAGTAGAGAAATACTTTAAATACTCTCCCTTTTAAGGT